TCAGATCCCAATCCTTCAACTCCTACCTCACTTCCCTCTCTTCTCATGACAATTCCCTATGGAAGACCACCAAACATATCCTAAAACCCCATCATATATCACATCCTCTCCGTCGAGGTGATGGCTCTTGGGCAGCATCTGACGAAGATAGAGCCGAAGAATTCGCCAAACACCTTTCCCTTACATTCACCTCTCATCCAGAATCCAATCCCACCCACACGTCAGCAGTAGAGGAATTCCTTAATTCACCCATCCCACTCTCCTTACCGCCTAAAGCAGTTAATCCTTCTGAGGTCAAATTCCTCTTACAAAAACTACCTACCCGTAAATCACCTGGATACGACCTCCTTACCTCTCAGATCCTTAGACAACTCCCTCCTAAAGCTGTCATATTCCTTACATACATATACAATAGCATCCTACGAACCACCCACTTTCCTCTTTTGTGGAAACATTCCACTATTATCCTGTTTCCGAAACCAGGCAAACCTCCCAACACCTCAACGTCCTACAGACCAATTAGCCTTCTTCCGATTCTCTCAAAAATCTTTGAAAAGATCCTCCTGAAACGCATCCTACCCTTTATAGAATCCCAAACTCTTCCTTCCCATCAGTTCGGATTTCGTTCACAACACTCTACAGTCCAACAAGGACTCCGAGTGGTTGATCATATTTCCGCAGCATTGGAAAGCAAGCAATATTGCTCGGGTGCATTTCTGGACATAGCTCAAGCTTTCGACCGGGTATGGCACGCCGGGCTTCTTTCCAAGCTGAAACACTATCTTCCTCAGTCCTTGTACCTTGTTCTCCGTTCCTACCTCTCAGATCGTACCTTCCGAGTTCGTTGCGGTACTGAATTTTCGCATTGCTATCCAATTGAGGCAGGTGTTCCTCAAGGTAGCGTATTGGGTCCCGTCCTTTACATCCTCTTTACCGCCGATATCCCTGTCCATCCCGATACCTTCCTGGCAACTTTTGCTGATGACACCGCCATTCTATCATCCGACTCAGATCCGAACATAGCATCCTTAAATCTCCAAAACCACCTCACCTTGATTGAGCACTGGTGTAATAACTGGCGCATTAAAGTTAATGAATCTAAATGCCAACATATTACCTTTACACTCCGACGCAGTTCCTGTCCACCAGTACACTTTAATTCCATCCAGCTTCCTTACTCAGACACAGTCCGGTATCTTGGCTTTCATTTAGACCGAAGACTAACGTGGAACCCACATACTAGACTCAAAAGACAAGAACTCAACCGACGATACGGCCAGCTATACAGACTACTAAACAGAAAATCCAAACTTTCTATTGAAAACAAATTACTTATCTACAAGACAATACTGAAACCTATATGGACATACGGACTTGAACTGTGGGGGACAGCAAAAGCTTCTAACATCAAACGTATTCAATCCTTTCAATCTAAAGTCCTTCGAACAATAGTTGATGCTCCGTTCTATGTAAATAACAAAATCCTACACCATGACCTTAATATCCCATTTGTCCTAGACCTTATTCCAGAAAAATTCTCCAAATTTCACCAGAACCTTACCTATCATCCAAATCCCCTTGCACAATCTCTATCCACCACCACCCATCCTTACAATCCTCCTCGAAGGTTGAAGCGGCAGTGGCCCAGAGACCTTTTGTAAATAAGCATCTATTGGAGTTTTGGCAATGGCCAGATCCTCCACTCAAGCCCGAGTGTGTATGATTAGGTTAGTTCTTTTGTTTATTTTACATTTATTTTATTTTATTTTTATTTTATTTTATTGTATTTATTATTATTAAGTTTCTGTATTATTTTTTTTTTAATTGTAAATAGAGTGTGAGTGTGCTTTCTCTGAACACTATTATAAATGTCCTTGATGTGACAGAATGTAATATTTCTAAATAAACAAATATAGAAAAAAAAAAAAAAATTTACAACCAGTTGCTCAATTTGTATTTTTGGGGGAGGGGTGACCGAACGGGTTAAAGCGTGTGCACAGCACCACGGCAACTAGATATATGAAGTTTTGAAAGAATAAAAAAAAGTACGAGTTTGCATCCTGGTGGAGTAGGGGATTTTAAATTCCTAGCTCGTAACCCTCGGCCCGGGAAAATCCCGTATAGCCTAAAAGGCGAGGTAGGAAAGAACAAAAAAAAAAAAAAAATTGCATAATTTTAATTTACTTTAATCGTATTATGTAGTTCAGATTGTATTATTGTTTATCAACTTAAAATAAACAGAACGAAATCACAGCACGATTTTTTTTTTTTTTTTTAAATCTACATTATACTTCAGACATTATTGCCAATTTATATTATTATATAATTATAATTATTCTTATTGCCAATTTTTAACCATATTATATATTCAATTTGTTCAGATTCATATAAGCCCAACAATAATTTGAGCCTTTTATTTCTAATATTTTCATTGTACGTTATATTGTGCTTCATTTTTTATTTCATAATAATTATAATTTATCACAATATAATATAAATAATGTTATTATTAATATATTGCATTCAAGCGGAAAGGTCTAAATAAAAAAATAACTGATGTTATCTACCACCACTACTATCATCTCAAGATGAATACAGATCATTTCCCGTATAAATTTTTAGTCTAAAATAATTGTTTTGTATCAGAAGAGTAGCAGGTATTCAATACATAACCGATTGAACGAACAGTGTATAATTTGTTAAATAATCGCCATAGGCGATCAGCACTATCAAGCTTCTGTTGTTCCCTACTCTTTTAACACGAAAATAAAATAATGAGTTAATTGCAAAAGTATATTGGTTACACCAATTCTTTACATATAGTCACTAAAATTGTCAAGTATTAGTAACTAGTTTGCCTCAATTTTTATTCAAAAAATCGATTTTATTTTACCAGCCTAAGTCTTGGCTTTGCAACAGATAGGCGGTGTTGGTCTTAGTCTTGCACTTTGCACAAGACCGATTTTAGCAACACTACTAATAGTCCTGTGATCCCTAATCATTTATAGGTTAAATATTCAGATATACTTTCAAACCTCTGTAGGCATGTATGAGCCTTTCGGTTCACAAAATGACTTACTCCAATTTCAACATTCTTTAGTACTAATTTTATGATGTTTCTATTGAAAAAATGTATACCTTTCTTTACAATTCTATATTTCAAAACTGCAATTACCTACTCTGGAATCAACTTATAGCTCGTCTGTATAGATAACTTTTTCAACTAAAAATATCACTAAAATGACTACTCAAAAATATTGAAATTAGAGTAGCCATTCTGTCAACTGAAAGACTCGGAGACTGAAGTTGTGTGGTTTATAAAAGCAGATGGAGTGACTAGATTTTCGTTGCCTACCGTCGATATGATAAATAGACTTTTTGTAATTATAATGGTTTTAATGACTTGTTATCTGTAAGCTTTAAGATTTAGCTCTGTTTAAAATGCACTTCAAACATTTATAATAGCCCAGCATTGCCAGAAAATAATTTCTATTCAAAGAAGAGCGGTAAGTGAAAGTTGTGTGTTGCGTGCATCAGATTTTGTTTAATGCGAAAAGCGTCATAGCTGAACCAAACGTTTTTAAAGGGAGTACAATAATGGTTTTATTTTAATAAATTACCCGCGGAGAGAATGGTAAATGGAAAATATTGAGATTTTATTGAAATTATATCTTATTATTTTTACTACTGTCAATTTGAGTAAAGAGGAACAGATAACTGATTAAATAATAAAATACACATATATGCTATATTCATATTTTATTTTCATTAACAAAATAAAATAAAATAAAATATATAGCAAATTAATGATTCTCCCACAGGAATTAAAATAATAATGAAACTTAACAATAGCCCCTAATAATAAAAATTCAAAATCAACAGAATTCAAAAATAAATTAGCTAAACATAATGTACGATACGTATGCTTGGATATACAATACGTATAAATTGGAATCGATATTTTTATACAGTATCAATAAGTTATTTATTTCATCATGTTTATTTAAAATGATTCCAACTTCTATGACCATACACACTAAAATTACTAATCAATAACAAATTATAATTTACAGCGGTTGTCTTATTTGTAAATTAAAATCACAGCTAATGTATTACCTTACAAGGACATAGTAACATACTAATAACAGACATGGCGTTAGCTGACATGGCCATAAATACGAAAAGGAGACTAAAAGGGCGCTGGATGAGAAACCTCATTTCTTAACTAAACATGGAGTGATTGAATCAATGTACCGAAAGATTCTGCTGGGTGCTATCCCTCCTCATGCCTGACATTTCTGTTTAATTATTGTCAACAGTTCCTCGACAGGTGCAGATTGATACTTGAAGTAAAAAAAAAACAGCTGAAAATCGCATGCGAATTTTTAAAATTCTAGTTATCATTGATTTTTAAAAATATATTTCTTTATGAATGGTTTAAATCATTCATTAGCTGTCATGAGCTACTTCTCACACTCCTCACGTCTAATTTCTGAATTCTCCTTTATTCCAGGCTTCCCTTCCATGAATTTTGAAAATATTGCATAAAAGCATGTCTGTATATAAGTAGGTATTTTGAATAGTTTACTTTCTTTTTGTTTATTTTATTTTATTTACTTTTAGTATTATTATTTTGCTGTTTATTTATTGCACATAGGGTGTGAATGAGATACTTTTCTATCACTATTACTATTGTTCTTAGATATGACATATTGTAATATTTCTCAATAAAGAATCAAAAAAAAAAATTCTAAATAGAGAGGGAAGAAGAAATAAAAATGTTTTCCTAGGCTGGATTACTATGACGGTTTCATTCTTATTCCCTCCTTGATAGCAAAATGAGGAAATTCAAACCAAATTCTCTTCTTTCTTATTCAGTTCTGTCCTATTATGGTAATATTTAAAAACAAAATAACATATAGTTTATAAGTATATAATGCTTCTAACCGAATACGAAATTCCCCTACAACATATTAAAACATTTTCTTTGGTATGGTTTTTCACTTGTAATAAGGGAAATCGGTGCCTTTGAGGGCCTCCATTGCTTTCTTGTCGAACCTCTTTGCTATGTCCTCCTTGAGTACTTTGGCCCAGGCGCCGGCCTCTCCTTCCCTGATAAACTTCATTCCTGCGAGGTTCATCTTCTCTAGTTCCCTCTCGAAGTTAACCATCGGGTTCTTGCTCATCTCAGCGAAGCTAAGGTGCTTTAGTAATGGTTCTTTCATATTTTCGGGAATCTCCACTTCCATGAAATCTGCTATCCTTTTCGCGACTGTATATAAATCCTACAAAAAAAAAAAAAAAATTAATAATAAAAAAAAATTCTATTGGCCTTCGAAAGCCAACATTGTATAAACCTAGACTTTAAATTACAAGTTAACTTTTTTTTTATTAAGTGCCTCTATGAATGTCATTTATGTTTTCGATTCTTTTTCCTTCTCGTATAGAACTGGATATATATATATATAATATATATATATATATATATATACATTTATTTTTTAACTAATTTATTTCGCCGAACAATAAATTTAAATATCTTGTACGTTTCATCAAACAACTTTGATTTACCGCCTTGCTTTCAGTAGACATTATTTTTTAAAGTTAAAAACTTTAAGAATACCAAATTTATTATAAATACAAACTTAAATTAATATAAAATATGACAATCTTGTGCACTTTATATTTTTGGTTTGTTAAGCAAAACACTAACCTTAAAGTTTTCCCATACACATTTTATTTATTTTCCATTCAATAATGAACAGTAATAGAAAGAACCACGAGATATACTATTCAAATCATGGGTTGAAACAATTATTTTTTTACAAATCAGTTCAACTTTAACTGTTTGAAAAAAAAAAACAACTGTTATCAATAAGATATTAAAAGTAAAGGTTTTTTCAAAAATGTTAAATGAAAGTTTTTATTTTTTTTATATATATATATATATATATATATATATATATATATATATATATATATATATATATATATATATATATATAAATGTCATAATAAATTATTTGTTAAACTTTTAATTGTTCTCTCTAAAATAAAATTTTTAAGTACTTAGTGTTATAAATTACGAGTATAATAGACGTTCATAATCATTACACTGCTCAGTACTTAGAGAGGAAAACTAATAAATTCCGGTCATCCCAGAAAATATTTCAATTCTAACTTATTATTATACAATGAAAAGTTTTATTTTTTGATCATAATTGTTTTATTAGAAAAGTAGAAGCTTTAATGTTTTTTTAACTAACGTAATAAAAGCTATCTTGTTCCATACCTTATAAACTTTGTAAATATTTACTATGTTAAATAAACAGACAAATTATTATCAAGTTTTAGATAGCTATGTACACACTGATGATTATATTTTCTGTTAATAATAACTTAAAAATATGTTTATTTTTTTCTCATAAAAACCTATTCATGTAAATGGTTTATGAAATTCTTTCTAATGAAGTTTGAAAATAAAAGTAAAGATTCAATAATGAACCATTGTGATCGACCAAACAATTTAAAAACTTAACCCCCTCTCAAAATTTTAGGTTTTACGTTTCAGGATATATACAATTCGAAAAAACGAATAAAAAATGTTTTGTTCATCCGCCGTCAGCCGTCCGCCGTCCGCGGTCCGCGCATTTTCTCCGAAACTACTGAACCGATTTTTTTCGAATTTGGATATAAAATAAACCGAGGATGATCCTCCTTCATTGACATTAATATCCGCCTATTACTTTCAAAAGGCAGCCGAAAAACCTGCGTTGCTATAGACTGAAGCGCCTAAAGGAATGTACCAATTTCAATGACACTTCGCTAAAGTAATTTTCTCGACGCTCTTTAGGTTTATTTATATAACATCCTTCAAAGAAAAGAAGCTTGGAAAGAAGTTACGAGGGATGGTAAAATTAAATTCCGAATAATTCAAAAAGTATTCACTTTTTTGTCGATATATGATTTTTTAAAAGTGTACAGAATTTCCTAAAAAATCGTTAAAATCGGACAATTAGGAGCAAAGATATGGTCTCTAGTTTTTTTTAATATGTTCTACTGCAAAGGTTACATCCTTTGATTTGGTTTTTGAATTTATAATGTGTTATTGAAGTAATGCTAATTTTTTCAGCATATTACTAATGATTAAAAAAAAAAGTTTAGTCCAGTGATTCGAATCACCTTTTATTTATGTTTCTTTGTAAGTAGAAAGGCAATATTACTTTAGATGTATAATTGTCTGGAAATAATAAACCATTGTGAAATAATTTGCAGCGTTTTTTAATTATTATTACTTTTTTTAACGATAACCCTAACTTACGGAGGGTGGTTCTAAAGGTTCATTAAGGCCCATTCATTCCGTTGGGTGGCTAGAAAGATTTTTAAGTATTATAAAATATGCGATACTAGACTATAGACAACTTTAATTGAAGGCAGTTCAAGAACTATAATAGAACAGAATAGAAAATTTATATGCAATATAACCTCCAAACATTTGTTATTATATAGTAATAAATTTACTGCCTATGCAATATTAATTCATTTAATTATTACCACAGTGATCCCAAATCTATTTTTATGGAAACCGAGATAATTACATCCACTTGTAAAAACACTATGAATCCGATTGTGCAATTATGTTTTTTTCAAAATTGAATCTAAATATTGAAAATATGAGGTGTGGAAATAGGTGTATTTCCGAAACCTGCTTTTTTTTTTTTGTAAAGAAATTCAATGAAACATGCATTTCTTATGTATTTTGAAAAATTAATTCAACAAAATCTTTTATAACAGATTTATTCAAATGAAAATTTTATCGTACCGTTGTTGCAAACCAAACGAAATTTTTAAAACATTTTTCTCTGAATCGTACTTGTGAATCATACTCCCTGAATTATGTTCGAAAATTGGCTTTGAGGTTTACTCCTATCCAAAAGAGACTCAATTTAAGTTCCCTTTTTTTTTTATAAATATAATTATTGCAATATTCACTGATTTCCGAAAATATGTGCTACAAATAAAGAATTACTTGATTTATTTAAAAAAAAAAAATTGGTTTTGATATTACGACCGGAATAGAAAATATAGTTTTACGCGCTTCTTGAAAGATTGTCAATGATGATTTGTATCATCATTGGAAATAAGGGACTCAATAGAAAAATAAATTGTAATAATGAAAGTTTGTTACATCACCTTCTTCATTTCTTCAAATGTGTTGAAAAGAATGTTTGGCTCGTTTCTCATTTTCCAAAAGTTAAGCACATGTTCCCAAAATGGAGAATATAATACTGTAAAAAACAAAAACATTTAATAGCATGTGAGAAAATTATATTATTTATATTATATATTTGTTGCTTATCATTCACCATTCGTCTTTCTTGATTAATATTTCAGGACTGATTTATTGAATTTGGTTTAGAGTACTTTTTTTTTTCTTAGAGTGAATTGATAATGAATTAGTTTTTAGTACTTTAAAATTATTTACAGTCACTTTATCAAAAATACTTGTTCTGGCTTGATAATTATAAAAAATAACTATATCATGAATGCACAGCATTTTAATGGGTTGTTAAATGGATATCTCAAAGGCAAATTGAAGTTCGAAACAAACAAAAAATTATATCCTTGTGTTGTCATTCACAGATAGGGATGCCATTTAGATATTTGGGGCATGATACACCAAGCTCATGATTGATTATCGTAAGGTATATTGCATTATTTATAGAATACTTACGTTTCTCTTGAAGGAATGCTTCAATAAACAGATCTTGGTCTCCATGATACCCATTCCAAATCCTATAATGATGGAAGTAGGATATTGCACAATCTTTAGGGTTCCTATAAACGTAAATGATCTGGAAAAAATCACGTTTTAATAATTTGTTTTATAGATTGAAAAAGATACATACAAACAGTTATTATAAGAAGATTATATATCGTCAGTTTCTTAACAAATTCAATAAATACATTCTTGATGGAGCTTAAAGTTTAAGAGCGTTTTCATGAATCTCGACCTTATTTATATATAGTAAACAGTAGGTTCACAAAAGTAATAAAACCCTTTTATATGTAAAATACAGTTACAACAAAAATTCATCAAAGGTCTTAGTGATTTAAGGTTAAGAAATGTCAACCTAATGACTTTTTGGAATAAAATGATATGATAATATATATATACAGGGTGTCCCGTAAGTGGAGGAAAACAATTAAAAGTGCGAGTGATAGTAGATATCAAGAAAGCTGAATATATATATATATATATATATATATATATATATATATATATATATATATATATATATATATATATAAAGAAAATAAATAGTAGGTTCACAAAAGTAATACAAACCCTTTTATATGTAAAATACAGTTACAACATGCGCACATATTTATATTATCACCAAAGAAAAATTCATCAAAGGTCTTATTGATTTAAGGTTAAGAAATGTCATTGACATTTCTTAACCTTAATTTATATATATAATATTAACCTCTCTCTCTCTCTCCTGATAGATCTTCAACAGACTATCAAACCGCTTATAACTCTTCTCACAAGACTCCTTTCCGAAATCCCGTTTAACTTCCGATGAATACAAAGCCCCTAGCTATCCTCTTATGGAACGCTAAGGGACTACAAAACCACCGTGACGAACTAGACATATTTCTCCATGACAATTATATTGACATTGCTCTCCTGACAGAAACTCACTTCACTCAACGGACACAATTCTACATACGTGACTACATCACTTATAGATCTGACCATCCAGACAACACTTCCCACGCTGGCTCTTGCATCCTTATACATAAATCTCTATCGCATTTCCTTATTCCTTCTACTCCAACTGATGCCATTCAATCAACTTCTGTAATTCTTTCAACTCGTCCTTTCCATCTAACACTTTCAGCTGTATACTGTCCTCCTGGTAATTCCCTCTTTTATAGCCTACTTGATTCCTTATTTCAATCCCTCGGAGCGCGCTTTATTGCTGGAGGAGACTACAATGCTAAACACCAACGATGGGGTTGTCGAACATCCAACTCCCGTGGTAGCATCCTATCACGTGTCTCTTCTTCCAACAGTTTCAATCCTCTCACCCATGAATCCTACATATTGACCTACATCTCTGAAAAAACGTCCCGATATCCTGGATATATTTATCACCTCCCAGATTTCCTCCTCCCATTCCACTATACAGCAATGCCATCGTGTGGTAGACGTAGTATCCTCTGCATTGGAGCGCGGTATGTACTGTACGGGAGCCTTTCTCGATGTTGAACAGGCGTTTGATAGAGTTTGGCACCCGGGACTGTTGAACAAACTCCGAAAATTCCTACCATCTACCTACTTCCTCATTATCCGTTCCTACCTTACGGATAGATACTTTAAAGTAAATCACAACAATGTATATACATCCCGTTTTTCCCAATCTGCAGGTGTTCCTCAAGGTAGTATCCTAGGTCCTATCCTTTACACAGTTTATACAGCTGACATCCCAACCCATCCCAACACTGTCATCACCACATATGCTGATGACACATGTATCCTATCAGTCAATAACTACCCATCTATTGCATCCCAAACCCTTCAATCCCACATCACAAACCTTGAAGAATGGTGTCAGAACTGGAGAATTAAAATAAATTCCATTAAATCCCATCAAATTACCTTCACCCTTCGTCGTAAACCAATGACTTCCTGTGCTTCAGTATCCTTTAACAACACCTCACTTATTCCTGTTGAACAAATCCGTTACCTAGGACTCCATCTGGACAAACGTCTAACTTGGAATCCTCATAACAGACTGAAACGACAAGAAACCACTCGACGTTTCCGATTACTTCAGCACTTACTAGACAAACGCTCTAAACTTCCCATTAATTACAAAAGACTCATATCCTTGACTATAATAAGACCTATTTGGACTAACGGGGTTGAGCTATGGGGCTCCACCAAGCCTTCAAATTCCTCTCGCATACAGTCCTTGCAATCCAAAATCCTTCGTAAAATCCTCAATGCTCCTTACTTTGTTACAAATAAAATTATCCATAATGATCTTAATGTTCCTTATGTATCAGATTTGGCCCAATCCAGATATCTGTCCTTCCATAATAAATTTCATAACCATCCCAACCCTCTTGTCTCTAACCTTGCTTCCTATTCGATTCCTGATAACCCTCCGAGGCGTCTGAAAAAAAGATGGCCACCAGATCTTCTAATATAGACATATTATTAGAGTGCTACCAATGGGTAGTTTCTCAACATGTGTTCCATGTCTTTATACCAATGTGCAAATTTACTAGATGTATTTTTTTGTATACAGTTGTAAATATCATTTAAAATAAATAAAAAAAAAAAAAACCTCTCTCTCTCTCTCTATATATATATATATATATATATATATATATATATATATATACATATATATATATATATATATATATATATATATATATATATATATATATATATATATATATATATATATATAAGGTATATATATATATATACCTTATATATATATATATATATATATATATATATATATATATATATATATAAGGTGTCCCGTAAGTAGAGGGAAACAATTTAAAGTGCGAGTGATAGTAGATATCAACATCTACAAAAAAGTTCATATAAACAATTGCCTAGCAGAAAAGTAGAAAATGTAAGATTTGTGTTTCTTAAGTGAGTCATGTTTTTATTGAATAGGATGTGGTAACTTAAAAAATATTTGATTTAAGTAATTAAACATTGCTCTATAGGAAACTAGACAAAATTTACTTCAAACGAAAGTAGAGTTTGGCATTGTTAAAACTATTAAAAGAGGACTTTTGTGCGATAAAACACACAAGAGAATTCATCTTGGCACGTGGACATCACCATATGGGACAATGTAAATCAGATCGACAACTTCCTAATATATACCAGGCATAGGTCAAACCTCCATGATATCAGAATTTTCGGGAGTGCTAATATGGACTCAGACCATTTTCCGAATATTTACAGAGTGAGAGCTAGGATCTCACTGGTCAAAACAATAAGAGGGAAAAAATAAGAAGTTCAACATACTAAAGCTCAAGGAACCTGATTTCTGTGAGTCATACATAAATAAAATTAATGAGAAGGTTGATGATGCACCACCTACAAATATGGGAAAATAAAGAGCATGAGGAAATAGAAAGATTAAGAATTATAAATGTGCCGAATACTTTACCAAAAGGTGGACAATGGCCGAAAACCGTTCAAGCCCCGCATCTCAGCCTGTAACGACATGAATGGATCGTTGTTGAACGATAAGACTAAGATACTAAGAAGATGGAATGACCATTTTAATCATCTGCTTAGCGACAATCGGACTCAGAAGACTCGAAAAGAAGATACTGACCTAAGACAAACTCCTGAAGATGGACTCGAGCCCCCAGACGAAGATGAATTATGCGAAGCCATTGTAAAGCTGAAATACAACGAGGCACCAGGCTTTGACAAACTTTCCGCCGAATTATTCAAGAACGGTAGATGTCGGAAATTCTAAGCACTACACAATATGCTTGTTGTGATTTGGACAGAGGAAATGATTCCGAAAGCTTGGAATAAGACAGTTTTATTTCCTATTCACAAGATAACCTTTTTAATTGCAATAATTATCGGGACATCTCTTTCTTACCATGCGCCTATAAAATATTTTCTATTCTATTTCTATAAAGTATTCTCTCTATAAAACGTCCTGAGGAAATATCAGTGGTGCTTTTTTAAAGGTAAGCCTGCCACCAATCAGATATTACCCTTACGATCCATTTAAAAATACGGAAGAGAATACCAGTTCCAAACATTCTAACTATTTGTGGATTTTAAATCTGCATACGATAGTATCCAACGTTAAACGCTGTATCGGGCAATAAAAGACCCCCAGATATCTGTTAAGTTCAATCGAATGGGAAAACTGATATCAAATACATGGTGCGTATCCTAGGAGATCTATCTGAAGGATTCACCTCTGATAATGGTGTTCGACAAGGAGACTCTCATGCCTGTTTGCTTTTCAATATTGGTTTAGAAAAAGCTGAAATAAATTTGAAGATCCAGTGCAAACGACGATCTGGGTTATGCTGACTACAACGACATTGTTGGAAGATCAAAAGTGTAGTAGAAGAATCCTTCCTTGCGCTCGAAAATGCTGCTAAGAAGCTAGAACCTTCTTTTAACAGCCATAAAACCAAATATGTGATTGCTGGCCAGCCCAGGCGTCCTGATGAAGATTCTGTTCAGGTTGGCCCTTACTCATTTGAGCGAGTCGATGAATTTGTGTACCCAGGACTTCAAGTTAATGCATATAACAACGATTCGGATGAGATAAAGAAGCGGTTCGCTTCAGCCAATAGATGTTATTTTGGACTACGTCGACTTATAGGTTGCAGCCTGATATCAAGAGCTTCAAAAACAAGACTGTATAAGATACTGATCAGGCCAGTACTCACTCATGCAGCAGTAACATGGATATTCTCGAAGAATGATGAAAGAGTTTTTCTAACATTAGAGAGAAAAAAAAATCTTAGACGAATATACCCTTATAGATGCGTTTGAATAGTAAGTTGCCAATAATTAAAAAACTAAAAAGATTAAAAACAATAAATTAAAAAATAAAAACACTAAGAAATCGGGAAACCCTATGCATCCTATGAGAATTTACTGGTATATTTCCTCAAACGCCTTTTTTGTATCTATATAGGGGAATCATATGTATATATAGGGAAATTGATATCTACGAATATTTAAAGTAGGTGTAGCAGCCAGGTTCCTTTCACAATCCCTTATGGTTCCTGTCAAGTATATTTCGTTCCATCGTTCAGTGCATGTCTACATCCGAAAGACTTGAGTTTCGTTCGGGAGTTGAAGGAACCCGACTACTACAGCGAGTTTAAATATCCGTTGATATGGATTTCCTAAACATTCTACCTAAGTGTTTGAGTGATATGCAAGTACATTCCAATGGAATGGGTAGGGTTTACCCATTTCTGTAGTCAGTTTTTTTAATTAATATTTTTCGTTTAATTTCGGTGATCTAATCACAACATAATTATTGATAAATAATCATAAAATAGATTTCACTTAACTTTTGCATTAGGGAAACACTGAGAACTCACCTTAGGTTTTACTTGAAAGAGCTGTTTGGGAAGAAGTCCAGGTGTCAAGTGGGACTTTAAAAATCTGGGAGATGGCATATTCTCCGCAGCGTCGAGCGTGTTCTCTTCTTCATCTCCAGTCAACGTGGTGAAACTAAAAAAAAAAAAAAAAAAAATAATAAAAAAATAAAAATAAAAATAAAAAAATAAAAAAAAATAAAAGGTTTGTACACGTCATTGGGATTTATTTCGACAAAAGATTGTGTCTCCTTCGATCATTTAAGTCATTTTATTTATTTTTCATAAGAAATAATTCGTATTATTGTTACATTATGAATGCCTATAAAAACAAATTACATGAAAGTCTGGATATAAAGAATGGGCATCCAAAGAGTAATAGTATCGCTTTCCCTACCTTTTTTTTTTTAATTGCCAAAAGTGTTCCGCGGTGATGCAAATAATTATGAATATCGTCCGGTTGTTGCAAATCATTAAGTACACTTTTGGTCGAATTAAACCTGAACGTTCGTAGTTGTTAATGTCGATTATATTTATCGATAAATTAACTCATTAAGTGAGTCATTTGTAAAAATAGTTTCATTAAGTGCACAATGTTCTGACTGTACAGAGCAACAAGTTATCAAGTCAATTGATTTAATTATTGTTCTATAAATAAGGTTAAAATAGAAAGTCAAAATTCACTATCTGGTGATTAATGATTTGTTTCACAGGATGAGATGGTTATTAAAATTAACTGAGTGGGGTACGTCTAACTCACATTCTATGTACTTGCAGGGTTATAAATTTAAGAAAGTTTTATATTGGGTATGATTTTGTGCAAAAAGTGACTCTGTGCGTCATGGTTTCAGTTTTTTATTTTTTTTCCATTGTTATGTATATGTTAAGTATTTTAGTTAATTGTGAAAAACATAACACATATTTAGAATTGTAAATAACAAAAAATAAATAATTAAATTACTATTGTAGTGTTTGTTTAATGAATCAGAAATTTCAAATTCGATAATCTCAAATTCATTAAAATGTTACTTAATGACTTTTCCCAATAAACCGAAGATATATTACTTTAAAAAAAAAATTGTTGAAGTTGATAAATTTTGATCAAACGCAACTCTTATATGAATTGTTAAAATCTTAGCAATCCTAGAAACCAATAAAAACCTTTCATGGCGTAGGGCATACAATAAAACTTCCTAAATGCTTCAAAAACTTTCATTACAGAGTTAAATAATTAATGTTCATGTAACAAGTCGGTAAGCACCCTCATTTAAAATAAATCAGATCGTAAACCCCAATTCCTTTAAGGAAGCATGAAAAAATCATTTGCAGTGGTCTGTTGGTTCCAATGGTCAATGGAGGAAATTCCGTATGTTTGACTTAGACAGAAATAGACAAGCAAATTCATCCAAATATAAAATTAATCATGAAATTTATAAATGATGTTTCATAGTAAAGTTTTGAGACTGGTGTTAATTTTATTGAGTGAAAATATTAGCTTACTCCAAGAAAATGGAACGGTTGTGGAGCTCCAGCTCTTTAGCTTTAGAAAAATTGAAATTGTTGCCCAGTAGCCAAACCAGCTCTTGAGTCCATGTAGTACCTGAAATACAGAATAAACATATTTTTAAATTTTAAAGTTACATTTACTTTCTTTGCGTTCTTACATTGCACATTACAAAATATAAATATTAACACATAATACCAAATGTTTGACAAACTATGACGCTTAAACAGTTGGAAAACGATTGGATGAGTTATTAAAGATAAAAAGGAATAAGATTATACAAGCAGAAAAAAATTGTCCTTCTAATTGATAGAAATAATGTTAATTGTTAGTCAAAATAACTTAACAAAGATTTTACACATATTTGACAAATAAATACAAGTTTTCTTTATTAATTTCTCCTCTTATTTTTTTTTTAACATATACGACATGGACTATTGTTCTTCCGTCGGGTCGTCGCATTTTATGTTTAATAATGCTGATTGTTATTACTTTTTCGTTCTGTGTTTTAAGTTGCAAATACATTACATAATAATTATAATCATTCAAACCAAATTGAAAAAAAAAAAACTACCACTTAATAATAATTCCAACTACTACTGAATGATAATGAAAAATAATAATAAAGTAATTACAAAGAGCTTGAATTTATACCATTTATAATTTATATATCATTTAAAATTACGGCTAAAAAATAAATAAAAAAAATGAGTAATATACAAAGTGATAAATTCTATATTTATACATCGAGATCCGGAGTTAAATGAAAAATAAATTGTTCGTCTAAGTATTTCCTATACTTTAAGACTTGTACTACATATTTATAAAATGATTACCAATTTATACCGTTAAGGAGCTCTATCATTTCCTCTCTTAAGATAGTGGTTTTTGAAACTATTGAAAGACTTATATCTCTCAAGCTCGAACAAACGACAAGGAAATGGTAAATTTCTTCAGGGGTATTCATATTACATTGAGAGCACGTGTAAATTCTATCACGTCTCCAGCGTTGACTGTTCAAATTTAAAATTTCCCTTTTGCTAAGAAATTACCTTAACAAAACCTGTACTTGCATCATTTATTATATAATAAATAGATAAATTCTGATCTAGCTGGGCATTGCCGGAATGAAATTCCTCTCTTGCTCTTTGCAAATCATCTTTATTATATTTTTCATTTATTTTATTACACAGCTATTTAATGGCCTGCCTATTCAGTGTAGGAGTATTTATAGTCAAATCAATCCTATTTATTAACTCTAAGTAATTAATTAAGTTTATTAACTCATTATACCAGAATATTTTGTTTCTACTATTATTTTTACTGTAAAGTTGGTGTATTTCTCCGGGTCATGAAGGTTCAACACTGAATTTATGCATCTGAGATGTAATGAGAGGGTATATAGATGCAGCCGTTTAAAACCTGGCTCAATGTAGAACATATAATTAGAAGTACCAACTGGTAAATTAAATTCATTCAAAAATTATTTAATTCACCGGTTGCTAATTTTCTGACTTTAAAGTTTTATAAACTAACATAAAATCTAAGGTTTAAATGTCCATACTATTTAAAAAAGCCATATGCATTTTATTGATGGACTGATTGTTGAAAACTTTGTCATTTTCACACAATACAACATTATGTGTGCTCTAATATGTGGAAACAAGAGACTTATGATTTTGAAGATATTGATACAAGGTCAAATTTACCGCATTTAGGAAAAGTAATGACCCAGACGTCATCCGGCCTGACTTCGAAGTTTCTGATCCTCTCGGCGTATTTGAGATATGTCTTCGGGAGGCGGCATCCGTTCTTGAAGGCCAGCGAGGCCGAAGACATCCCCCCGCAAAATTTGTTGATCTCCTGGACCATCTGGTCATCGAGGATTTCGTATTCAAGGTTATCTTCTTGCAGGTCTTGCGTCATTTCTGAAATGGAAATATAAATTTATAGTCCAAATCATGTTTTTTTAATTTTTTATATATTTTTCGCTTATTATAGATTATAATTAAAATTAAGTGTGCCTGTCACCAATTTATCTTTTATCGATAAACTGTATTACTTGATTGTTTATAATAAAAGTTAAAAACATGTTGTTTATATCTGTGCCCCGGAGATAAAAGACACCATGTCCATTTTTTTAAAAATAAATTTGTAAAAAAGAAATAATTTTTAGTAGCTCAAAGTTATGGAAGATTTACCATTTATCTTCGGGGTACAGATTTATCATTTTTATTGTTTATTATTTTATATTATCATGGTATCATATTGCAGTGTATAGTAATTAGTTAGATGAAAAATAAATAAATTATTAATTAGTCAGATCTTATTTTTGTATTAATATATTAGTTATATTCTCCTATTCTTATATTATTTGTCATTTGTATTATTCTTAATTTCATATAATTTTAATTATTTCCTGATGTTATATTCTTCTTCTTATATGCGTACTGCATTAGTAATATTTTATTCTTAATGTTGTATCTTCAACACCTGAATATTTTTTTTTTCAAATATTAAGCGATATCCATGTCAATGACCTAGTCAAACAAGAACCATCAAAAGCAAGGTGAAAAAAATATATAGAAAAACAAATATAATAGAAATTGGTTTTGGCCTAGCAGTTCTTTAATAAAAATATTAAATATTAAGTAAACTCACTGACGGTAATTAGTGAGAATAACAAAAGTTAGAAAAGTTAAAAAATGAAAATCGGTAAAATATATCCTAAAGGAAATACACAAGGATAAAAGTCTAACCTCACTGAACATATTTCAAAAGAATAACAAATGGAATGAAAAAGCAAATGGACAGAAGAAAAAATAAAAGGGAAAGAGGTATGGAAAGAGAGGTTTGGAAATAAAGAAACGAAAAGATATCTGATGGGAAACGATATGCAGGACGAACGGACCAAAAGCAAAAATGTGAGGGCTACAAAAAAATTATGTTGCAGAATCTCGCTTCTTTAGAGGGAGAAGATATTGATAGAAGAGTAACTTATTTCGAGCCTAACGATCAACACAAGAAATGCGTGAGCCTCATCACTGAATTATTAAAAAGAAATCATGTATAAAGTAAAATAATCAATTAAGACTATATAAAACCCTCTAAAATGTATGAATGCAGAAAAAGGAGAATTTCTAGGTCTTGAACGACGCCAGAAAAACAAGATGCTATGGAATATGACCAATTTTGTACCATGAAATGGCTCAATTAGAGCACCTTATAGCAATAAAAAATAATAACTTCACTGATTAGAACTTACTGGTTTTAATTTAACTTATAAGTAGAAAACGAATGCGGCAATTATACATATTACCCCCTCCAATTCAGAGAACTTACATTTTTTTTTACAGATTAAAAACCGTTTAATTAACTGAGAAAGAAATTAAATGAAAATCTGAGACAACAGGTGAGGGGACAAATGAAAAGGGAATACTTTAATACCCAAACAGTATTATGTTTAATTAAAAAAAAAGAGAAGCATTTGAAAAAAGTGTTCTGAAAAAAATTAAAAGGGCATTCTAATGAAGCAAAATTGTTTCTCGTTTCGCAATTGTACGTCGGGACAGGAGGGAAATGGCTTTTTGTTTCATGATCGATAAAGTCATTAGCTTAATATCCTTTGTTCTGCCTGTTATTTATTTCCTTCAGGGACTTGGGGCTAAGTAAATAGAGGCTACAAATATTACCCTTACATCAAAAGGACCCCTTGGATCAAACAAATATAAAAATAAATTTTAATAATTGCCATCGCCATTTCGTTCTTCGAATTTTAAAAAGTACAAAAATAAAAATAAAAAAATAATTCTTGTCTACTAATGTTTGCGTTATTATGCACCACAAATATTATAGAAGCCATTTAGTAACGCATCTGGATGCATATGTAAAAAAAGGAGTTATTCATCAAGAAGATGTACTAATAACTTATCGAAAACCACGCTGAAAGAATAGCGTAACCTTTTCTGGCCTCACGCATATTCAGAAGTACAGACCAAAACAATTTCGACTAGATAATTCAAACCCCCGTAAGCAAATAAGAACTGAAGATATAAAATTTAAAACGTTCGAGGAGTTTTTCTTTATTTATTTCCTATAGAGAAGTCAAATCAATTGGATATTGCCATATTTTTGAAGAATATTAATTCAATTTTCCAACGCGTAGTAGCATTGAGTTTGGAGAAAAAAATTGAGGTCGTTATGAGTGCTTGAGTTAACAGCAAAAAAAAAAAAAAAAAGACTCCAACAAAATTAAGTACTCAAATACCTATTTTTTTATTTTGATCAGTGTTAAAAGCTCTAAAAAAATATTAAAAACAGATCTAGTTTTCTTTTCCAGAAAAAAAATTTACTTGGTCTACTTACTCGAACCACCTATTGGCTTTTGTAATTATTGATACGTTATAATCATTGAATACTATCTGCAATCTTTTTTTCTGATACTACACAAACAAATGAAATCGAATGGTATATAATAAATAACCTCAAAATCCGAGGAAATCACAGACAAATGAAAAGAAAAAAAAAATACTTTTCCTTAAATTATATAAACTATTTTTTTTCCCTCGGCTTTAAGCATTCATTATACCTTTGACTTCAGGGATATAATAAATAATATTTGAACAAAAATCAGACGTTTTTTCTTCGTCTTATGAATATTTAAGTTTTAACACTTAAAAGATTTTTGAAAAGCAGCTTTTTTAGATGTATTTTTAATGAAATTTGTCCGATTTAAATAACCTGGATTCCGAAAAAATTACTTTACGATTAGTCCAATGTACATTTAATTTTTTTTTTAAATGTCATTCATTGTTTAACCTTCATAATTCAATACTATATATATAGTAATTGTTAAGATCTTATCAGTCAAACTCGTTCTTTCGATTCCAGTTCTATTACCTGTCACACTTTGTTGTTGTGCTAGTGGAAAGTAATATAAATAAACCAATAAATATTTGCTTGTTTTCTTTAAAGGCAAATTTAAAAGAAAAATCCTCGAAGGATTCTCAATCCGAAAAACAAAAGAAATTGGTATAAAGGGCAAGGCCAACATGTAGGTTTCTGAAGAAACGTGATGTGTCTTCTTTTATTTAGTTTGAAGATTCAAGAATTTTATTAAAGAAAAAAATACTTAATTATTCCATCATATGTTGAAGGTTGTCTGTATTCATGTTCCAGTCCAAAATCTAAGACCAAAACTCAACAAATAAAAACGATTTATGGCACTGTCAAATATTGTACATTAGAAGAGGTGTTCACTACATCCAATATATCTCTTGTATTGCACAGTTCGATGTATCTGAATATCATGTACAATGCATACTTAAGTTTGTGTTTGTTTATTTGTTTGGACACAGTGAAGTTTGTACAAGTAATTAACATTTTTTTTTTTTTTGGTTTATGAGGAAATAGACTTTACATCCTTTGGAATCATTTGCATACTTTTAAATATTTAGATCGAACATTATTTTCTGCAACTAAATCATACAGCAACTGGAAATTCTTCGGATTTTAGCAAAAAGTTACTAAGTGTATTTTCGTTAGATGTTATCTTTCAAGTATGTTTATTTGAATTACTCTATACAAATCACCGCAAGTGCATGAAAAAGACACACATCCTTTTATTTGTCATATATAGTTATACTAAGTGAATTTTTTTCTGATTTCAATGAAAGGCTTCAAAATTTCATTTAATTACTTTTTGCAATATGCCGATGATATACGTCCTTATATCCATAACTCCTACAGATATAGAGTTTGTTGGAAAAAAATAAGAGTTTAAGTGTTTTAAAATGAGAGTAGCTTAATCATAAAGTGAACACTAATATTTTTTTAAATCCTGATAAGTATCGATAACCATGTAAAAACATCCAATAAATCTGACGGTACTTTTTTTTTAATTTTTAAAAACGGACCTGAATATTAATAAATGTAAAATTAAAATAAAATTTCATAAATTTTTATTATTGCTGAATTTCTGGAAAATTCATCAACCAGAAAATTTTACATCAAAAAATATTATTATTATTATTAATACTGGTTGTTCGAATTACTTTTGTTTTAGTTTTAAATGTAATTTAATTATTATAAGATATGTAAAAGATAAGATAAATAATATTATAATTTAGTAGCAAATGATTTTAAAAACAATTTTTTTATCATGTTTATTATACTTTTACTATTAAATTCCTGTAAAATTGCTTAAAAACCGATGATATACTTGAAAGCTAAGAAACATATTTGTGCACGTTTTAAGATCATTATAGAAACTCTGAGTTCTGGCCAATATGGGAGTTTTGCCTTCCTCAGCCCACTGTGCGACAGTTGATCCGAACAGCACAATGCAAACAATTTCTTATAACTGGAGCCAAAACCTCATCATATCATTATAGAAGTAATATATGTTTAATTGTTGACACCTACAACCATCTTTTTTTGACAGTCTACTATTTCTCCGAGAAACTTCAATACCATAAAATTCAGAAACTCAACACCTCTTTTTTTTTTTTTGCGTTGAACCCAACTTTATAAAACATCAGAAGAATTTACATATTTACGTTCTTGAATATCCTTCTTTCATCAAGATTGGATAGTGTGCTAAGTTGTTTTAATGTACATTATTTATTTACTGACCAATTTATAAAAAAATAAATTGAGAAAATATTGGATTAGTAGTTAGAACTGATGTTAGTTAGTCGTTGCTGAAATTTGAATTGATTCATCAGAATATAGAGTTTAGGCATTACTAATAAAAAGTCTTTATACTGTGTCTTGTTAGCCAAGCCTTAACTTTCCCATAGGATAATACCTGATGAGGAAATAAGAGGATTCGGTGGATCTATCGATGGTCAGCTCGGCGATATAACTTCCATTTAAATTAATGAGGCATCGACTAATACCCCTCCTACCTTGATATCTCTTTTAGA